GTAGGAAGACAATAGAGTACAAAAAACAAACAAACATAAAAATTAAGAAAAAAAAATGTAAAAATTAAAAAGAATATACAACACAACTGTAACATACTATTCAGAAATCCCAGTCCTCAGTAGCCTAATGCATGGAAAGTACTTGGTTTCACAAATGTTGGGGATATGAGGGTGGGAAAAGAGAGAGAGAGAGAAAAAGATAAAGAAAAAAGAAAGAAAAAAAGAAAAAAATCTCAAAGGAAGATTAAAGGATTGTTTTGTTGGAGTTTAGTATCTTTCCTGCTCCCCTTATCATCCAGTAGGTGGGGTTGTCTGTGGTTTGCTGGTATCCCTACCTCAGGATGGTGAAGGCTATTAGGGTGGAGGGTTTGTCTTGGGGATGGAGCTGGAGGTGGGGTATAGCACTTGCTGGTCCCCCATGGGAGACTGCACCCCAGGGATCACCTTTGGGGCCCGCTTGTGTGATGTGGGCACCTGGTCTTATCCCCTTATATTGCCTGCAGACCTCACAATCTTGGTCTCCAATTTAGTCTCTAAACTGTGTCCCACTCACCCCTCCCTTTCTACTTCCCAATCAGGAACCTCTCTCTCATGAATCTGTGGGCTGTGCTCTGGGGGCTGTGCACCTGCTGTGCGGAGAGCTGTTTTGTATCAGGCAGTTCAGGGCCAGGCTTTGGGAGCTACAGAGTGGCCACATAGCTATAAGTGCTGAGCTGGGTTAGTGGCTGCAGGGAGAGTGGAGAGTTGGGGGCTATGGGTACCTTGATATTGCTTCTAGGCTTCAACTGGTGTCCCAAGCTGGGAGTTGCCCCAAATAAAGTCAATGATGGAGGTAGCGAGGATAACCCAAGATGGCAACAAAGGTGTCCCAAGATGGAGGTGGCTGCTTTCAGAGATGGGATGTAGGGTCAGCCCAGCAATGGCATTGGGTGGTGTGTTTGGAGATGAAACTCAGTGGCATGTAGCGTTGCTCTGTGTCACGTAGCTGTCTCCAGACCCTGTCTGGTGTCCCCAGGAGCAGGCTACCATGTGGAAGGGACTGTGGCAGTGGTTGCAGATTCCCAAGATGGAGGCAACTAGGGGAGCCCCACGTTGGTAGTTGGGAGTCTACAAGGGAGTGGTGGCTGGGGGGTCCTGCACAGACACTGATGCTGGGGGTCCTGCTCAGTATGGCTACCAGGGTCCTGCATGGGCGAGCAGCTGGGATTCCTGCATGGGAGCAGCTGTCAGGTGTCCTCTAATAACTTGCAGAGAAATAGTATTCCCACTTCTTGAATCCCAGGTCACAGAGCGACAAGTAATGCAGCCTCCATTGATTCCCCCATCTTGGATCCCCCTCTTTGGGATTTTCTATAGATAATTATATATACCACTTGTGAGCAAAGTCTGTTTTTATTTTTAAATATTTTTTAGTTGTTGATGGACCTTTATTTATTTATTTTTAAAAATAATTTGTATGTAGTGCTGAGAATCGAACCCAGTGCCCCATGCACGTCACCACTGAGCCACAACCCCAGCCCACAAAGTCTGTTTTTATTTTTTTTTCCTTCTCAATATGTATATCTTTTATTTCCTTTTCTTGTCTTATGGCAGTAGCTGGAATTCCTAGTGCAATGTCGAATAAGAGTGGTGAGTGAGAATATCCCAGCTTCAACTTTTCACTGACGCCACTCTGGTGAGCCCATCATTGTTATCATCTCTACCTGTCCTAGTGTAACAACCCCATTACTGGACTTCCTACTTTAGCTTTTGTTCCTATAAAGTCCATTGTCTACGAGGTAGTCAGAATGAAAATTTAAGAAAGTAAACCTGATCATCTCATTTCCCAGATTAGGACCACTCCAATGGCTTGCTATAGCATTTAAAATAAAACTCTTCAGCCTACCCTAATGCCTAATATACTTGGGCCCCTCTATGCCTGGGGAGCATTATCTTATAGGATTCATCCTCTTGACCTCTTCAGTCAGACACACTGGCCTTCTTTCTGTCCTTAAAGTATTTCTGCCTTTGGACTTTAGTCCAAGCTGTTCCCTATGCCAAGAATGTTCTTTCTATTGATAATTGTGGTGCCAGTTCTTTTTGGTTATGCAGATCTCAGCTGAAGAGTTACTTCCTCAATGAATGCTATATTCAGTCATTCTTTATCGTGTTAATTTGTTTTAATTCTCTGCATAGCTTTTTCTGCTACCTGATATTTCTTTTCTTTTAATTGTCTAACTCTGCTTTCTGTCCCCTGTTCCAGACCTTCCACCCACCAGAATATGAGTTCTTGGGAACAGGATCCTGCCTGTCTTGTCCATTGTTACATCCCAACACAGAGTCAGTACCTACTTTGCCTCCATTCTTCTCTTGACCCAAACACCCTTGCTCTCTCTGCTCTTCTGTCTCCTCCTTTCAGTTCTCTTGGCTCCCTACTCTTTGCTGTTCTGGAATCTTTGCATATTTTGTTCTGCAACCTTTTTGCCTCAGAATCTCCTATTCTTTATTTAACTTTCAGTTCAATGTCACTTATATAGAGAAACCTCCTTACATTTGTATCATCACCTCTTTTTATGGTTATATTCATAGTTTTAATTTTATATTCATTTATAAGATTACTGGATGAACTGCCTCCCTTATTATTCTGACAGCCCAAGAGTCAGGGACTAGGTCTGATTGAGCTCATCTTTTGTCTCTGTACTCAGGACAGTGCCTGGTTCTTGGAAGTTGCTCATAAGTGGCTACTGGCATCACGGATTCATTAAAAATAAAAATACTACACTTAATTGGTTCTAAGATGTAGGTTTAACAACATTTCTGAAATAGGGATGCATCTTGTAGTTGCTGGCATCTGAGAATGGATTAAAAAAATAGTATAAAATTTAAACAAATATATTAGGATATTTTATCTTAATAGTAATCAAAGAAATGCAAGTTAAAACAACAGTGGGATACTATTTATCAGGTGTCACATTGTAAATGATTTTTTTTTTGCAATGATTAAAAAAAAAAACCCATAATAATACTGGCACAGATGTGAGAAAATAGGTCTTTTACATGCTATAGGTAAGAGTTTATATTGGGCCACTCTTTCTGGAGAGATTTGGCAATATGTATTCAAAGCCTTAAAAATATTAATATCCTGTGGCTTTTATTTTGAAAAAATATTCTAAAGAAAAAAACTTGGATGTTTGAGAAGATTTTGCCAATATTTTCCATTATATAATGTTTTATGATAGTGAGAAATTGACTCACTAATGGTAATCCATAAAATAGAATACAATCTGGTTATAAATATGTGTATTCTTAAAGAATATTTAAGAGCTGGGGCTGTGGCTCAGTGGTAGAGTGCTTGCATAGCATGTGTGAGGCACTGGGTTCGATTCTCAGCACCACATATAAATAAATAAAGTTCCATCAACAACTAAAAAATCTTAAAAAATATTTAATATATGGAAAAATGTTCCTACTATGTTTTTAGTCGACTAAACTCCATGAGAGCAGGAGCCATGTAGATTGTACTTGATATACATTCAACATCTTGCACAGGACTGATATTTTGTTGAATAAGAAAGTAACAACGAAGTGTATGATGTGTGTGGCATGAGTAGGATGACCCAAATTTTAATTCTAGAAAAGTGTGTGTGTGTGTGCCCAATCAGCCATGTATTAGTAGAGATTATCTTTGGTGCAGTTATGCATAGTCTTTGTTATTCTTTGTACTTTTCTATATTTTCTATAATATACACATATTAATTTTACAACAAGAAAACTGTTTTCTCATCAATGCTAACTCTATTGGTGCCAAGAGAGTGAATCTGAGGGTGTGGTCACACATGGTGGAGGCAGGGTTCATGAATGAAGGTTTCTCAGAGCAAGTGAGGTGAGTTAGTTGAATACCAGAAGCAGTGACGGATAGTACACATTCCAACCTGAGCCCTCGACAGGAATCTGGAACTAATAATCCTCCTGGGATGTGCAAACGCTCTGTGCTGGGCAGAAGCCCATCCCTCCATTCTTCCTCCAGATACCCTTGTTTGCCTGCTCTAAACAGCTGCTTATGGCTCTGAGGTATCCTTGTCTCCTGATCCCTTTGGTTCCATTCCTGCCTCCAGCCCTTTTACTTGCATGATCACTTTGGACAAAGGTCTTAAACCTTGGTGTTCAGCTTTCTCTCTCCCTTGGCTCTGTTTTTGTTTTTTTGCCATCTGACCCAAACACCCTTGCTCCCAGCCTCCCTGCAGTGCTGAGGGTGACAGCCTTGCTTGGAGGCTAGACTGCACACAGTAGGTGCTTAATGCATGCTTATTTTATACATGACTGTGATCCACAGAAACGTGGGCAAAGAGAAAGAGGAGAGTCCACATGTTGTGGTGGCCTCTGGTAGGGGCAAGAGGGCAGAAGAGCACCAGGGATTGTTTGTGACCAACAGTGTAGAACCAAACATTTCAAGTGCAACCAACGAGGAAATGTAGATAGGAGAATATCTGAAAAGAGAAATTCTAAAAATGACAACTTTGTAATACCATGTGCTTAATTGGATCTTTAAGCTAAAAAATTCGATATATTTTCACTTCTGTATGAAGAATAACTTCTCTCCCTGCCTGCCTCCCTCTTTTTCTCCCTCCCTCTCCCTCCCTAATTTTGTTCTTTTAACATTTTCTTTCTGTTGAGGCCAGCAATTCAAGCTAGTTGCAACAGAGGGCAGAATTGTGTAACAAATGTGAGCATCATTTTCTTTTTACCTGAAAATCACTGTAAAACACAATAATAGTGCATGGATTGAACTACATAAGCACTCATGGCCCTTTAATTTTCAAAATTTACCAAGGTTATTTAATAGTATTTTCATTATTTTTTATGTCATAGTCTAAAGTACTTGGTAATATATGTAAATCTTAATAAAAGCAAAGTGCAGATCTCTCAAACAAGAAACTAACTCTGGCTAGTTCTTAGATGAGGATTAAGCCTCAGGTGTGGGTTACTTCCTGTGCTTTAGGGTCATTGACTTTTCATTCTAGTGCTGGAATGGAAGCTTTCTAATGTCACTGCCACTGACAAATGCCGACTGATGTTCTGCATTGGGAGTTTTTTGAAACTTATGGGCAAGATCAGAGAAGCAAAAGAGCTGTTCTTGAGTACTGAGGACATGTTAATGCAGGTAAAGTGCAAAAACCAGAAACCTTCAAACCTCATTCTTTTTGTGTTAGATATTTTCAGATATTTACCTTTGTTCCTTCTTAACAGAGGAATTCATTAATTTGTTCATCAGTGAGGAAGCTGTGATTTTAATGCATGCCCCGTACTGGACATTAATAATGATCACTAAAGAGAATAGGAGTCATTAGGGCTGGGGACATAGCTGAGTTGGTAGAGTGCTTGCCTCCCACATACAAGGCCCTGGGTTTGATCTCCAGCACCACTACCAAAAAAAAAAAAAAAAAAAAAAGGAGTCATTAAAGGAGTGAATGCAAATAGGTGTCACTTGGGAGGAAAAAAAGAAGTGTTTGTAAAATTTGAAAAGTGAATTGTAGTGGTAGGTTGAAATGAATTAATAAAAAATTGGCTAAAGACTTGGCTGTAACTTTCATGAAGGCCTGTGATACTGCTCAGCAGTAGAGCACTTGCCCACCATGTACAAAGGCCCATGTTAGGTGATTGATTTGCTTTTTCTAAAAAATGAACTTTTGACTTTACTGAATGTAATGGAAGCTTCACTCATAATTGTTATTATGTTTTAGATGACACTTAATTGCCCTTTTAATAATAGTTATGAATTTCACTGTTTTCAATAGATTTTTGAAGACTAAGGGCAGAATAATCTGAAACAAAACATTTTGTTTGAAAACACCTTCACAATTTCCTGAGACTTTACCCGTACCTCCATTAATATATAGACAGAAGGAATGCCATCTAGCGGGATTTATAAAACTCAAAATTGCAACACCCTTTATGGCACAGACAATGTTATTTATCAATTTTTGTATCTCCATGGTATATTATGCCCCATGGGTGCTTAATAAAACAAATGTAACAAACCAATCAATAAATCCATTTGAATGTGCAAATTCCTCTGTGTCCTTAGAAAGTAGCCCAAAGTAGTGAATAGAGCATGGGCCATTTTCAGACTGACCCAGATTTAAAACCCAGCGTTGCCACCTCCTGCTTGTATGACCTTGGTAAGAATTCTAACCTCTGCCCCAGTGAGTTCTCATCTGGGGGGTTCTAATATCTTATCTCATGGGGCTATTAACAGGATCAAGTAAGGAAGTGCACAACACCCTTTCCACAGTGTCTGGTGCACAGTGAGATATTGATTACTGGTGGCTGGTTTGTCCCTACTCCTTGGGGTTATAAAGTAACAGGCGTGGCCTTGGAAGTAAGAGGTTTTGACTAAAGGTCATTCAACTCTCTTCCATCATTTAGGGAGCAGCACAGCAGGGATTCTGTGCTTCCCATTATGACCATGGGATCCCCCACCCCAATTCTTTGCCCCCATGGGGAGGTGCACGTTTCCTACTGCTGACAGGTGTCTGTCTGGCACCAGTTATTTTACTAGGTAACCACTGAACGCCTGTCTGCAGTTATTCCCTGTGCACGCTTCGTTCATTCACTTGCTAACATTCGCTCAGGGCCTTGCCTAGCCTGAGCACTGGCAGGAGGTGGGGTGACGGCAGTGAGCAAGACAGCTGGTTTCTGCTCCTAGTCCAGCTGGACTTCGCTGCGGGCATCTGCAGCGGTTCAGCAATGAAGCCCGACTGTGGAATGGTGAAGGGTGAGGCGCTTGGAGGAGGCATGCTGACAGAATTGGTTGCTTCCGAGGGCTCCTGCAGGCGTCCATCTTATGATTTATTCTTAATATTTGCAACCATAAAATAAGAACAATAATAACAATAAAAATATTTTTATTCTCAATATTTTGCCACAGTTGCTTGGGACGAGTCACCACAGAGACTATTAAAAGGAGTTCTTTAGGCTCTAAAGATAATTTCTAAAAGTTTGTAATTATTTTGGGCAGTAATATCTTTTTTGAAATATGTGCCTGACTTTCTTGGGCTGAAAGATCCTGTTATTTGTGATGTATTCATTCTGTATTGTACAGCTTTTGTAATTTCTTTTTTAAAAATATTTATCTTTTAGTTTTAGGTGGGCACAATACCTTTATTTTTTATTTTTATGTGGTGCTGAGGATGGAACCCAGTGTCTCATGCATTCTAGGTGATCGCTCCACCACTGAGCCCCAGCCCAGCCCCTTGTAATATCTTCAGATAAGATAGTTTTAAATTTTAATGCAACTGGAGGCAGTTTTGTCCCCTAGGGAACATTTGGTAATGCTGAAGACACTTTTGGTTGCCACAACTTGCGGGAGAAGTGCTCCTGGCATCTGCTGGGTAGAGGGGGGATGCTGTAGTGCACAGGACAACCCCACAGCACAGGGTCACCCTGCCCCAAATGCCAATGTTCGCAGGTTGAAAAACTCTGAATTAGAAGGCTTGTTTGTTAGACAGTGGGTCTCATTTGCCTCCTCCCTAGTTTTCGCAGGAGGTACACCAGGTACCAGAGGATCCATTTGTGAACGGCTTCTGATTCTGCATCAGAGACTTGACTTCTTAAGAAACGTACAGAGCGGTGTTTTGGAGTCCAGCAGGCCTGGGAGGACCCCTGCCCTCCTACTAGGTAGCCATGGGGCTGAGGCATGTGTTCACCTCACTGAGTTCTGGTCTCCCTACCTGTAAAGAGGAGTAATAAGCGCTCCCTTCCAGGGAGGTCGTGCCCGGCGAGAGCTTGGCTCAGCTAGCGCTGTCGAAACGGTGGCACCGTCACTGGCCACCAGCACCTGTGTCCTGAACGCCCAAGAAGCACGGAGCCCAAGGCTTGGTCGTGGAGTCTCTGCCCTTAAGGAACAGTCTGGAGTGGGAAGAGGGGAAGAAAAGCCAAGGATTCATAACGAGGAAGCGGACACTGAGGCCACACCCAACATGTCCAGTCGCTCGAGTGGCAGCGTGGGCACTGGGACCCGGAGGTGGGAGGACCACTGTGGCCTGGTAAGGGCTTGTGACAGGGCTTCTGCCTCCCTGTCGGACTCATTAGAAACACGTCTGTGATGTGCAGAGGAATCAAACGCCCAGAATTGGAGCTTCATGGGTGGAGGGAATCTGAAGGAGCAGCCGGTGCCGGGAAGGTGATGATTGCACCCAAGCGGAGCAGTCAGCCAGCTGAGGCCACGGAGCACTGGAATCTGGAGAGAGACAAGGCGACATCTGCAAAAGCCAAAACCACCAGAGGAAGCCAGGGCCCCAAGCAATATTGGGAACGGGTGGGGGAACTGCTGATATTCGGAGGGAGAAAAGTAAATGAACCTGTGAAGAAGGCAAAGATTGGGAAAGAGTCAGGATGTCGTAGTTTTCCCCCAAACCAAGGGGGGAGTGGCTAACGGCATCAAATGCCCGCTAGAGGTCTGGGCAACTAAGCACGGAAAGAAGGCCCAGAGGTCTGGTGCGTGGGGGCCAGTGACCGCCACTGAGGAGGCAGGGCATGTGGGAGGAGCAAGAGGCAGGGCTTTAGGAGGTGGGGGTGGTAATTAAACAGAGAAGATGCACATAGGCAGGCTTGTTTGAAAAGTTTGTTGGTGAAAGGAGAAAGTCGAAAAGTTAGGAGAATATGAGGTTCAGGTCAAGTTTGATCCAGGGTATATGTGTTTACGTGGAGCAGGAAATAAACAGAGGCAGATTAGAGATGCTGGCAGAGACCCTGTGAGAGGGCTGGAGGGAAGGACACAGAACTCAGGGGCAGGGCAGGTCCTTGGGAAGGGAGTTGGGCTCCACTAACTCTGAAATAGGTGTGAGGGAAGAAAATGAGTCAAAACTCTGCTAGTTAAAAATTTAAAAGAAAGGTAAAAGAGGTATAGAAAAGAGACTATAATTCCCCAACATTGTTCTGCCTTTTATTAAAGTAATGTGCCCTCTCAGAAAATGGCTGTGTAGAAGAAAACTGCATTTCCCAGGTCTCCTTAGAAACCAATGTTTTGGCCAATGAGATGTAAATGGAAGTTTCTGAAGTGAAGGTGTTCCTGGTTCTGCCCCTGTCTTAGCTGGAAGGCTCTGACAAAGATTCTGTAGTCTGGTGGCTTAAACAAAGGCTTGTTTCTCTTGGTTCTGGAGGCTGGTGGACCCAAGATCAAGGTTCCAGCAGAGTTGGTGTCTGCATCCTGGTCCAGGCACTGCCATCTTTTGCTGTGTCTGCATAGAGGAAAGGAATGAGAGAGGTCCCTGGGGCCTCTTTTACAAGGGCACTAATCCCATTTGTGAGGGCTCCACCCTCCTGACCTGATCACTTCACAAATATCCCACCTCCTAACTCCATCACATTGAGATTAGGGTTTCAACATATGAATTTAGAAGGGACACATTCAGTTTTTAATAACTTTCCTTCTTTCTGCTGATTGAATTGTGAATATGATTTGAAGTCAGAGCAACCATTTTACATCAGGTGGTATCCTTGAGAATGGAAGTCAGGCAAGGGCACAGGATGAGATAAAAATAGCTGAACTCTGACTTTGTAGAATGTGTGCAGCCCTGGGCCACCTAGATCCTGACTCTTGTATAAGAGAAATTAAGCTATTGTTAATTTGGGGTTCTTTGTTATTCATAGTCATCCTAATCTTACCCAATATTCGAATTCAGTCTCTTAGCAATATTTGAGCTCAGAAAAGTCAGAATGGAGGACACCTTTGAAGTGGAGGATTGGAAGGATGAGCAGCAAAGATAAGGTCTAGAATAGATGCTGAGAATTCTAAATATATTCCCAAGGGGTGTGCAAAAGAACCACAGGCACATACCACACCAGACTCCTATACCACACCAGGCTCCTATACCATACCAGACTCCTATACCAAACCAGACTCCAAATCCAGGGAAATCAGTATCTCAGAGCACATGTAAACTATTTTCAAGACAACTGTCCAAAAGCTTTGTTTCAGAAGATCAGTTAAGGGCTAGGATTGTGGGTCAGAGGAAGAGTGCCCACCTAGCATTGCCTGAGGCACTGAGTTTGATCCTCAGCAACACATAAAAATAAAATAAAGGTATTATATCCACCTATAACTAAAAAAATTCTAAAACAAAGGTCATTTAACACAGAGGGGCACTTTTAATATGTGCAGGAGAATAGAAACACTTATTCTTTCAACTTATAACAGGGAGCCCGGCTCAGTCAATACTCTCCTAGGCTATCATTGTGGTACAATGTAAAGTATTAAGTGGCCAACAACATTGCAATGCCATCCATTCTATGGTGCTTTATTAGTTACTGAACACTTCCTATATAATCTTATTATATTATCCTGTATAATGCATTTTTGAAAACTTATTATTAACAGTAAAATAACTCATCACTAACTCTGATTTCTTGGATTGGACATTTAAAAAAAACTTTAGCCAATTAGTATATTCTTACGCATTGATAAGTTGTTGGTTGAGAAGTGATTTAAGTTAATGAAGTTGAATACCCTGAAATAAATATTCTAGACCAGTAAGGAGAATTTAATACAAGTTTCTAAAAAAACATGTCAGACATAAAGTCACCAGCTCCCTGGTGGTGTTTGTATTTCAAGCAACATTCTAGATATTCATTAGAATCTTGATACTACCTCCCTTGGAACACTTATTATATGTGAGACATTGCCAGGTTATTCCTCAAAAATTTTATTACTATTAACTGCCAAAGAATGTTTACTGAACCCATGAGATCAGTTGTCCAAAATGCATTTTTAATTTGCATTGTCTCCCAATAAATATTTTATAAATACCTAAAATTCCCTGAGAAATGATATAATACAGGTTTTTATGGCATGAGCCTTTCCTGGGCAGGTGTCCAGCTACGGTGTCTGTCCTAATGGTGGGTTCCTTCAGGAGCTGCTGGTTCCCTTTCTCCTTTTGTACAGAGCCAGTCCACAAGAGAAATGCTTCTCAAAGCTCAGAATGCCATTGGAGAACTGTATGTTGAAATCGGGAACACCCAGGAAGGGTTCAAGTATTTCCAGAAGGCGTGGTCAAACCTGCAGTGCTTGCCACTCAGTGACTTCAAAGACAACCGGAACTTGATGAAGCAGAAAGGTATGTAGACACCTACAGAGGGAATGACCCCTGTATTCTAGAGTTCAGTTCCTCCCAGGCCACTCCCATCCATAGGAAAAGGGAAATGGATCATGGACTTCATTGACTTATTTTTTGGAAAGGCTTCCAAGTACATGAGGTTTGAACATGAAGTGTTCCCTTTCCTTTTTTGTGGGGTGGTCACTCATACTGAGAATTGAACTTGGAGGCACTAAACCACTGAGCCACATCCCCAGCCCTATTTTGTATTTTGTATTTAGAGACAGGGTCTCACAGAGTTGCTTAGTGCCTCTATGTTACTGAGGCTGGCTTTGAACTCGTGATCCTCCTGCCTCAGCCTCCAAAGCCACTGGGATTACAGGCATACTCCACCATGTCCGTTGTGCCTTAAGCTTTTGGGAGTCACAGTTTTCGTGTTTCTAAGGTGGGATTAAAAAAAAAAGCACCTATATAAAATTTCTTATAATTGTGAGACCAAGAAAGTTTCCAGGCTGTAAAGCACCCAGAATGCTGCATGGCACATGCTGAAGTCCTCACTGATCGTTTTATTCTCTGGTATTTGATTCCTGAGGCCACTGTGGTGCCACTGATGTAACAGAGACAAAGGATGTTTACGAACCCAGGCACAAGTTAAGCATCCATAAGCCAAAAACACAAAATTTGACATGCTGTAAAATTGGAAACTTTTTGAGAGTCAACGTGATGCTCAAAAAGTTTTAGGCTTTGGAGCAGATTAGATTTTGGATTTTGGGGTTAGGGATGCTCAACCATGTAAAGGCTGCAAATATTCCCATATCCCAAAATCTGAAACTCTTTTGGTCCCAAACATTTTTGACAAGAAATACTGAGCCTGTATTAAACAATTTTGACCCTCTGAATCACAGTCAGACTGAAGGACTCTCAACTTGTTCATACTGCCATGGCTATCGCATTTAGCTTTTGTTGCATAGCAAACCACCCCAGAACTTGGTGGCTTAAAACAACATTTGGTTTTGCCCACGTGTCTCTGGGTCACATGAGTGATTCTGCTGGTGCTGGATGGGCTCAGCAGATTTAATTTTAGATTGAAGAATATAAAATTGGGGCTGGGGATGTGGCTCAAGTGGTAGAGCGCTGGCTTGGCATGTGCGAGGCACTGGGTTCGATCCTCAGCACCACATAAAAATAAATAAAGATTTTGTGTCCACCTAAAACCAACAAACAAAAATATTTTTAAAAAATTAAAAAAATCTAAAATCCAAAATGCTCCAAAATCCAAAACTGAGCATCATATTAATTGTAGAGTGTTTTGGATTTTGGGTTATGGATGTTCAACCTGTACCTTGGTTTAGTAAGCATTCTTTGCCTATCTCATATCAGTGGCACCACAGTGGCCTCAGATATCAAATACAGGAGAATGAAACAATCATGAAAGTGCCTGAAATTAGCTGGCAGGGCTGATGGGGCTGGCTGGTGGTTATCTAGCTAGGTGACAGGGGTGACTGGGCCAGTGTTCCTCATTCCTCAGGAGGATTGCCCAGGACTAGTCACTTGGCAGGATTCCTGGAGGAGGAGCAGGAGCCCAGGCCAGGCTCAGAGAGCTGATACAATGTGCCTTTCTGCTGCATTTGATGAGCCACAGGAAGTCCCCTGCTTTATTCATGTCTTGATATGGGGGGTGGGGTTTAGCCAGCATATGAAATGCTTACAGGCTGTCATAGATGCAGTAAGAGATGGGAGTTGAGCATGGCCCACCTGGAAATGGTGACCAAATACCTTTTGGGGAAGGGAGCTATGAAGCTGGGATTTAATAGACAGTAGGAGCCACGGTTCTGGCCAAAGAACAGTATGTAAGAGGATGGGCCTGTCCTGGGAATGAAGCGATGCCTCAGTGAGCAAAGGGCAGGAGGCAGCAGGACCCAGACTGTGCAGGGTGTTGAGTGGCATTTGAATTTTAGTCTAAGTGCAAGGGGGGAGTCATTGCAGGGAGTTAGAGTAGGGATGACACCATCTTGTTCGTGTTTTTTTGTACCAGGGATGGGACCCAAGACCTCCTGCATGTTAGGCAAGCACTCTACCACTGAGCTACATTTCCAGTTCTGGTTTTTGTTTGTTTGCTTGTTTTTGGCATTGGGGCATTGAACCACTGAGCCACATCCCAGCTTTTAAAAAGTATTTTATTTAGAGACAGGGTCTTGGTAAGTTGCTTAGGGCCTTGCTAAGTTGCTGAGGCTGGCTTCAAACTCACAAACTCCTGCCTCAGCCTCCCAAACTGCTGGGATTACAAGTTGTGCCACCATGCTCTGCTTGATTTCTATTTTGTGATGACTTTTGCTCCTGTATAGAAAAGAGGTTTCCTGGTGTGTAAGAATGGACACAGGAGGGCTGGGATGGTAGCTCAGTAGTAGAGCACTTTCCTAGTGCATTCAAAGCGCTGAGTCCAATCCTCAGCACCACATAAAAATAAAATAAATAAATGAAATAAAGGTATTGTATCCAACTACAACTGAAAAAAAAAATGTTAAAAAAAAAAAAAACAAAAACGGACACCAGGAGACCAGTTATGTGGCTCTCCTACTCTCATGTGCAATCCACAAGGCCCAGCGTGGGGGCATAGGAAGGGGTGTGATTGGAGGTACTTCTTGGTGCCTGAGTGGTATCCTGTGGAATCCTGCAGTAATCCTGCTGAAGTCTGACTTCCGGAGCACAGGGAGTTAACTCTGCCTCTGGCAATGCCTTCTCAGAATTCCACTGTCTCAGTTTGCTAGAGCTACTGTAACAATGTGCCACAGGCTGGAAGGCTTAAAGAGAAGATACTTTTTTTCTGACAGTTCTGGAGCTAGAAGTCCAAGGTCAAGGTGTCAGCAGGGTTGATTTCCCCTGAGACTCTCTCTTTGACTTGCAGGTGGTCACCAGCTCCCTGTCTCCTTCACATGGTCTTCTGCATATGTGTCATTGTCTGCCCTTATTATAAGGATACTACTCATTTTTGGATTGAAGCCCACCCTATAACCTCATTTTATTCTTAATTCTTTAAAGAAACTCTATGTAAATATAGTCACATTCTGAGGTATTAAGAATTGGACTTCAACATACAGGTTTTGGGAATAAAATTCAGCTCAAACAGTTACTGTGTTTTCCTTATTCACATAACAAAATATAGTTTAGAAGATAACTTGCTACTTTTTAAAAGTATGTACTATTGTCAAAATATATAATTCAATAAAGGAGCAAAATTGTCAGCCTTCTTAACAGAATGTGTGCCCACGGCAGAGGGTATCTAGGTACAGCCTGCTATGTATTAATTGGGTTTGTGGGAAATATTTGTGTACTTCTTATCATCAGGCTGCATTACTTCACTGCATCTTATTGGAAGACTGTGCCGACTGCCTTCTGTCAAACTCCATTACCAAGGGGATGACCTGCCTAGTCTATAACTGTACTCTCACTCTATTGCTGACCTGTTCATTTGCAAAACAGACTCAGTCTTTGGTTTCAATCTGTCATCCTTGGTCCTATAACTGATACGCACATTCGAATGGCTTATGAAAACCAGCCCCATGCTATATGGGTGAGTAGTTGATTTATCAAGGAAAAACCTGGCTGATGGCACTGATGAAGAAATGTTAAATGCTAGACCTTTTGGCATCTTAACTCTTTTGTTGAAAAAAACCCACAGGGATCAAACTCTTTATTGACGTGTATTCCCTGCAGTCAGAGTGCTGAACAACCTGGCCAAGTGGGCATCTGAGGAGTACCTAAAAGAAAACCATGTGTTGGAATACGCCACTGAGGTTTCCAAGCTGGTGGACAACATCCCCCATGATCAAGCTACCATGAAATACACCGAAGGTGTCCTCATGTAAACAGGCATTTCAGTTTTTGTTTTGTTTTGTTTTCTGGATTAGTGTTCAATCTTCTGATTAATGTACTTAACCCACACCTATGAATCCATTTCCCACCTAACTGATTTGGCTAAGAAATGCTGACTTTTAGCATTTGCATTCTTTAGCTTAAAATGGTTTTCAACCAGGGAATTATTTGGGCCCTACCCCCTTCGCTAGTAACATTCGTCGTAATGTCTAGAGACATTTCTGGCTGTCATGACTGTGGGGGAGGGGTTGTTGGCATCTAGTGGGTAGAGGCCAGGTTGCTGCTAACCATCCTACAGTGCCCAGGACAGCCCCCAACTAGGGATTACCCAGCCCAAATGTCAGCAGTGCTGAATTTGAAAATAGTTTCTTTTTTCTTAAATTTTTAAAATTTGTTTTAATTAGCTATTCATAACAATAGAACGCACTTTGATACATCATATATAAAGGAGAATAATTTCTCATTCTTCTGGTTATACATGATATAGAATCCCACTGGTCATAGTTATATATGTACATAAGGTAATAATGTTTGTTTCTTTCTACTATCTTCCTACCCCCACACCCCCTCCCCTCCCTTCACTCCCCCTACCTAACCTAAAGTAACCCTATTTTCCCTGCCCCCCCCACTGTGAATTAGCATACGTGTATCAGAGAAAACGTTCCGCCTATGGTTTTTTGGAATTGGTTTATTTTGCTTTGTATGATATTCTCCAGCTCCATCCATTTACCAACAAATGCCATAATTTCATTCTTCTTTAAGGCTGAGTAACACACACACACACACACACACACACACACACACATCACATGAAAATAGTTTATAAAGATATTGCTGGGATGTAGCTCAGTGGTATAGTACTTGCCCAGCATGCACAAGGCCGTGGGTTCAGTCCCTAACATGCACATACAATGTTCTTATAAATGATGTTGCCATTCCTGAACCTCTATTGTTATGAAGT